GTCTGACTGTCTCGTTCAACCCAGTCATGGTTAATTGGTTGCAGTCCTACCCCGGGGTGCGCCCAAACACCCCCCCAAAACCCCCCTAATATTAAACCCGAACCGCCGAAATCCAGTTTTAATATTAGGGAGGGGGGGGGACCTTTAATAATAGGGGGAAACGATTATGGCCCGCGGAGGGCCACATTGAACTAGTGAGCCACATGGAGTTTCAATATGGCGGATGCAAGGTCCAAGATCGGGAGGAATCTTGGATCACGGATCTTGGATCCGCCTTATGCGATTCAACGTGTTTCAATACTTCAATGTGGTCCTCTGCCCTTCTTGGTTTTGTTATCTCCACGGCTCTTGTGGCATGTGCATATCTGCTACAGGTGCATAGCAAACCAGCTTGAAGCAACTGCGTCATTCATGTTGCAGTCCTTCGTGTCTCAAAACCGCTACTCCGCATGGCGCGCCACACACGTAACTCGGATAAGTCGGAATCTTTACGGCTTCTCTGAATTATCTGAAATGAGCTATTGCACATAATGTTGGATGCTTCCGATTTATCAGAAATGAGGTATTTCTATTAACTCGGATAGTTCTGCTATTTCGGTGCTATCGACCCGCTGCGGTTTCCGAGAATGAGGACAGCGAGAGGCGGTTCGATAGCACCAACTTTCTTATAGGTGTATGTATATATATATATATAAGGTATGCAGGGGTGTCATATATAAGGGGTGATCCAACAGGTATTTTATAGAGTATTCCAGCTGGTATTCGAAAAAGCATTTTCTACGGGGACATGGTATAACGTATGCTATAGGGTGTTCCATCAGGTATTGTACAAGGTGGTTTATAAGGTGTACATACAAGAAGGTAAATGGGTCAGGTATCCGTTAGGCTACAGGGTCATTTTATCTAGGGTATACAAAGGGCATTCTACAAGGGTTTACCTGGGGTATTCTATAGGCAATGAGGTTTGCGGAAAAGGTATTGTGTAGGGTATTCTAAAAACATTCTGAAAACAAATCGCCTAGATTCTTGATTTCTTTCATAAACATCCCTTCTTCAATAAGCTACAGTGAGACCAGCGAAGGGCGGCTCGATGGCACCATACTTTCCGAAGGCCTTCCCTTCAGAAAATTTGGTGCAATCGAACTGCTGCCTTCTGCAGGGTTTCCTTCAGAAAACTGGTGCTATCGAACCGCTGTGTTACCCGTTGCAAATTCGGACAACTTGGGCCAACAAACGGCGGCGGTTCGATAGCACCGACTAAATTTTGCGAAGTCATTTCAGCACTCGCGGCTGGGCCTGCACATGCGGGTTGACACTGGCTCATGAAGTCCACGCCCATGTGGGCAATATCGCTTCTGGGGGCCTTGTCGGCAGAACGCGCTGATCCTCTCAATTCAACCCCCCCCCAAAACTGATTGATCCCTCCCCCAAGAAGCTGTGGACAAAAGAGAGGACAAAATCTGAATTCACAAAAAGGCAGAGGATAGGAAACTTTAGTGAATGATTTCCCCACACTGTTCGTACCAAGGGCAAGGCAACGTGTTGAACTTGGTACACCACTGAAGGAACAACCCGGGCGTCTTCCGTAGCCGTATAAAAACAGTGACACACGGGGAACCCAGCCTGAAGGGCCGTCCCTCCGTAAACTGAAGGCCCGCTTGCCGTGAACCCTTGCAGCATCTTGCGGCTGTGCGCTAGGCGTTGATGAGTGGCCCTTCGCAAGGGGGCCAAAAAACAGCACGAGGCAGTCTTGTCGTGGCGAGTTGAAAGGCTTGAACTTGCAGAGCTTTTCGGCTTCCGTCTGATTTGATCGCGACCCTTCAAAGAAAAAGTCTTCTGCAGTCAGCAGTGGAACATAAGCATGGCGATGTGCGGATTTGTTGAACCATCCTCACTGAGCGCGAGGGTCTGTTGAGAAGGAGATCTTTATACTCCCAAGCCTCAAAGGTCTTTTCAACTGCTACTGGCCTAGCTATGCAACATCTTCAGCATCGCCTGTCCACACGGATTCAGCTCAGTTTCAGATGCTTGCGACCGAGAGGGTTACATGAGAGCTTCTCAGGAGGTGCGCATGGATGTGCCTGATGCAGGCGGTGCCATGATGCTGCCAATGCTGCACAATCCGACGCGATAGAGGCGAGGGAGGGTATGGTACTGCAAGGGCAGATAGATTACATTGATTAGTGATGTAGATAACACGGTTGTGTCTGAAGGCTTGTATGGTGTGGGCAGTTGTGAGTGGGTGGAATGTTTGATTAGTGCATGGGGCTTGAGATTGGGGTGCAGATTGGCAACTTGTGCTGCTGACATCTTATGTTGGTTGATCCCTGAACAGCCACAGAAATCACCCCTCTGACCACTTGGACCAACATCCTGATGTAACATGAAGATGGACAGTTCAAGAGCAGTCCGGCATCAGTTTTGCTTGTTGCGAGGCTCCTAAATGTTACACTTGTGAGTGGGCCGGGCCATAGTGAGTCTGCCTGAGTGCTTTGGGTGGTTGTTTCCAGGTCCTGCCACAGTCATGCCGTGGATTTCAACAACGAGCAGTTTGAGGTCATCAAGTCCTGCACCAGACGATGATGAGATTGAAAGAGTCACACAAGACGGTCCCGTGTGTTCCGATGGGAGCGTGTACCTGTACCTGTTTGCGATTTGCGACTGTCACCTGTGCCAAGCATGGCTTTGGAGCAGCACGTCGGAGCCGGGAGAGGTGCAGAAGGAGATGCCGCCTGCAGCATCGGGTCGGAGTCTTCGAAAAAAGCTCCAGATGCTGTCATGCAACCAGATTGTGAAACCTGTGAATGTGGCAGCTTGCTCGCCTAGAAATTGTTGATCGTGTTGCCACTGCCGCATAGCCCTCGCTGCTCAAGCTTTCACAAGGCCTTTGACACTCGTCCATCCCATTCGGAAGACATGGCTCCGGCAATGAAGTCCGCGATGAAGTCCAAGGCCATGAAGACCAGTGCCAAAGCCATGACCAAGACCCAGCTTGCCGACCAGCTCGCCACCAAGTCCGAGCTCAAGAAGAAGGATGTGCTGTCAGTCCTGCAGAACCTTTCCGAAATCGGTGCCAACGAGGTCACCAACACCGGCAAGCACCTTGCCTGCAGTTCAGGCTTTGCTGCTGCCATGCCCACTTCCGTGGTGAAACGTCGTGATAGTCTGTCGGTCTGAGGTTTGTTTTGCCAGGGCTGTGCATGATCAAGACTCGTGCCTGGGCTTGGTCTCATGATGTCACTGACCGCATGCGGCCGGTTACAGTTGGTTACGCAAGAGTCGCGCGCATGCCCGTCCCTGTTGCAAGGTATTAAGCCTGCCACGAAGGGTGGTACCCGCATGATGTTCGGCAAGGCCAGCATTGGGTGACTGGCTGAAGGCATTCTGAGCAGTGATGTGGCTTCAG